GATACATAGAGAACGAGTGTTTTAAAATGCAATTATCAATCAACCTGGAAAAAATGAGAGTCTAGAACAGACCATTGCAGTAGTAAATAGGTGGTCGTTTAACAAAAGCAGTCTGGTATTTTGGTAAATGCATGGAAGATATGCCACTCCTCCATGCCAATAAATTCTTCCCTCCATGAAAGGGAAGCAAGTTGCGGTGGTGGTTATAAGGGGCCGCCGCCGCGGAACAACAGTCCCTACCACTTTGGTAGGAGTAGTATTCATTGGTCCCCGACAGCCTATTCTTTGCTACAATTACATTTACAACAATTGCTGCACCCACCACAACCCAGCAAATTTCAAAACAAAAAAATTAAATTAAATTGCTATAATAATTAGTAAAAAAAAAATGTATTCAGCTTGGTCACTGTGCTGATAACCTCAAGATTAGGCTATATAAAATTCTATTCTGTTTCTGTAATTACTTGAATTCGATCAAAGAAGTGGAATTCAATTCAACGTACCTGCCATTTTATTTGACGGTTACTGACGGCGACGCCGATATGGTGGTTAAGAAAGAGAGGGTAGAGTTTTGAAAATTATGAAAATAAGAGGTGCTATATGGGATTTTATCCCGCGGATGCTCGCAGCCTAGCTTTCACGCGTGTTGGCTGTGGAGGAGTTTTGTTACCACTTGCCAGTGAAGAGATGTCACGTGCTTGTCCTCTAGTATATTCGAGTTTTATCCCCACTGTTGTCGGGTGTATTTTCTGGTGGGTAGGTTTGCGAAAACACCACTCTAGTTTAGTAAATTTTCAATTGGGCCCTTTAAGAAGAATCGATCATCCTTCGTAAACGCACAAAACGGGTGTTAAAGTATAAATATTTCAGCGACAGTGGAAGTGATTATTTTTAAAAATATTTTTTATTTTAAAATATGTTAAAATAATATTTTTTTATTTAAAAAATATTTTTAAAATTATTATATCAAAATAATTCAAGAATATAAACAAATAATTTAAAATAAAAACAAATTTAAAATTTTAAAAATACAATGTAAAACACATTTCCAAATAATTATTTGGTCATTGACAAGAGTTTGTCAGGTGAAAAAAATATTGTTTCAAAAAAATATATATTATTTTACATGCTCAAAAAAAAATGATGTTTTTTTTTAAAAAAAATTAGCTAATTTTTCTAATGTAATAAAATTATAATTTTTAGAGTCTTTTAGACACCAAGTTTTTCTTGTATTTTTTTTCTTTATACTTTGCATTCTTATTATTTAACAATTAGCCTATTTGTCACCATATTTTTTTATTTTTATTTTGTTTTTTAAAATATTTTTTTGGTTTTTCCTTCTTCTTTTTTCCTTGTGTCTTTTTTTAAAAAAAAATTATTTTTAATTTTTTATACTTTGAATGTTTATCACATATTGGCTTATTTATATCATTCATTTTGTTATTATTTTTATTGTTTTATAATTTTTTTATAATTTTTTATATATTTTTTTTTTTAAAATACTATACAAAAACTTGGAAAATGTTGTTTCACTCGAGTAATTAAACTAGCTTGAAAAATTACATGTTTCTATAAACATATATAATATTTATTGTATTTTATTGTATATAAACATCAACTTTTTAATTAATGGTTATTTTTTTATTTGATATAAAAAATATTGATAATAAATACACATTAATTTTTTCATGTTACAGGTAAAAATTTTAATTTGCTGCGAGGCTGATTAAATAGACGTGTTGATATTTTATTTTTATATTTATTATTATATATAATTTTTAATGTATTTAATTAAATACATAGATATAATTTTTTATTTATAACTATAATTCAAAAAAATTAAGCTTGCATATTTATTTATTTGTTGCCAACAAAAATTATCCAAAAAATGGACCAAATAATTAGTATATATACCCCAAACATCCTTAGAGTGATTAAAACATATTACGAATATTTTGGGTATAAAAAGAGGTACTGTGAAATTTGTTTAGATTTAAAGATAGTTTTTATCATGTTCTAAACTTTTAAATTATCGTTATAATCTTATGACACGTCGAGAGATTTATGCAATTTATCTTGTTATATATAATATCAATACACTGCTTCCACGTTCATAAAAAAATAAAATTCCTTGTGATGATATACATGATTCCTTGTCATGTATTTAAAGAATATATAGCAAGGATTCACGATTTTTTCTAGATCACCTTATAATCTTTTAATTTTATCTAGTTAACTTTTATAGACGAACCTTGTTATATATTTACACTCAGCATGGCCAAGTCTAGATCATGAATTCTTCAAGTTAATTCATGGATCGAATTATTTAATCTAAAAGAAATCATAAATATATCTTTTTAATTAAAAAATATACATGGTTTAAATAAAACTCTAAATGGACTCCTCCAGCCAATAAAAGTTTTATAACCATGCTGTAAAAAACTCAAATCCATGAGGGAGAAACACTGTAATCGGAGACACGTATCACCGTGGACTTGCTGTGGTCATTTTTTTCTGTTATTTTTTATTTTTGACCTATGAACTCTTTTTTACTAGCTGCATCCTTTTGGGGTAAGACTGAACCCCGTTGCTTCAAATTTATCGAGCATGGGAAAAAAATGAAGGAAAGGGGGTTAAAGTGAAAAGAAGATGAGTCAATTGTTGGCGATTTTAAAAACGGCGCAGCAGGTTCATTTTGGTTTTCATTCCTTTTCAATTATAAATTTCCGGTCCTTTAATTTTTTGAAAAATCAATTTAGTTCAAAACTTCATTTTATTTATTTTTTAATCATTGGCTTGAGAAACAAGAAGGAGAGTGGTTGAATTCTAGTACTAGAAGAAAAGGAATATTGTTTGACATTGATTTTTAAAAGGAAAAATGATGATTTTGATATTAATGAGTTTTGTTTGACTATGAGAGTTTATAACATTTATTATTTGACCTTAACTTTGCAAGAGATGGTATATTTGAGTTTGGATTTTTATTCTGTTTTTGAATTGATTTTGAATTTTTGAGTTGTTTGAGGTTATGTAGAGGTTTTTGTTAAGGTGTTTGGAGTTTTTTCATTAATGTTATGAATAAAAAAATAAATTATGAAATGGACTTCTCAAAAAAAAAATTATAAATTTTAATTTTTTAACCACCGCAATAAATGGATGAGATTCTAGAGAAAGCAGATGATATGTTATTAATCAAAGCAACGAAGCTCTGCCAATTTTTTTTGAAAAACATTATAGGATAGAAAACATGGCATCCACCCTATTACCAAATGAAAAAATAGCCCACATGCACCAGTTTTTTTTAAATAGACAAGGCAAGTGGATCTAGCTTACTAGCTTAAACAACATATAATCTTTTTTTTTATTTTGAGCAGCATATGATTTTTTATTTTTTATTTAATTTTTTTTATTAATTGATATTTTTTTAACCTTTGATGTTTTAAATAGATTTTAATTCAAACATAAATTAATACCTATTTTCTCTAGGTTTCTAGATTGTTTATTTAACTTCTTTCAAGCCCAGGCACACAGGCCACTTATTCAAGATGCACTTGCATGAATGCATGTTTTATAGTCCACCGATTTTCCCCCGGTCCTCTTTTTTCCTCCTTCAAACTTTATAATTCAATGTAGGGTTTTTGTTAAAAAAATGTTTTTTTCCAGCTTCTGTAGATTTCCATGATATTTTTAAATAAAAATATAATTAAATTTTTACTGAACCTTCAAATTTATTTTTTTTCCCTCTTGGTCTCAAGAGGCATTATTTCTACGCGAGCTAGCTTTTTTCTTTTTTTTTCCTTTGAATCTTATTAATTCACCTTCGCATGCATGCTTTTTTTCGTTGTTTTATTAGATAAAAACATTGGTTTCAGTAAACAATGATGTTAGATATAGTTAATTTTATGAATTGTGTTTTGAAATCAGATATCCACGTCAACATCTATTTCTAGACTTTTCAATTTATTCCCAGTCACATATCATTTGTTTTATACATGAAATGATAGCATTTTTTTTTTATAACATTGCATAATATTTTTTTATCATTTAATTTTCCATACATGTAAATTTTTTTATCACCTAATTAAATAAAAAAATATTTTTTTATAATAAAATCATCAAATACAACTAAATAAATGTATCAAGCGGTAAAATAAAAAATATTAATTTATATTTATCTTTTGATTTTTCTAGTTTTGTATTTAGTTATTATTGTCACTATTTTTTTATTTATTGACATAAATAATTCATAATTTATTTAATCGGATGTAAAAGTAATTTTTTTATTTATATCTTGGACTTTTATACAAAAAAGGTGCTAGAAAACATGAATATTTATTTTTTTAGCTATAAAAAAATTACATGCATAAAACACCAATTAAATAGATAGTATACTAGGGACATGTGACTAACTGTTAGAGCATCTAAAAGAGAACAGCAGAAAGAAAAGGATAAGTTTTTCTGGCTTCCATCCCTCATTTTTATAGCTCCAGCGAGAGAGCTACATTGAAGATCCAAAATAACATTTCCAAGTTAAAGAGTTATTGCTATCAAAAGAGCTAAAAGTCTCCCTAATATTTAATTAAAAAAATAAGTTTTGATTGGAATTGTATTAGCTAGCTTCTATCAATAAATAACTATATCAACATCAAATATATTAAAATATAATTGATTTTATTAAATAATTTTTTTCCCACAGGATTGCATATATAAAAAATATTATATCTACACTGTTAAAAAAAAAACATCAACATGCCGTAATAACATATCACCTTTTGTTAATTCTTTCACATGACATCCATTTTTTTGCTACCGATCAGAATAACAAAATAAAAAGAAGTTAAGAGCCCAGTTCCAAGACTCGGCGTTGAAAAAACACAACTAAAGCCCACTAAAGAGATCCAATTTACAAGTACACAAAGCACTCCCCGGCCCGGCCCGACATGAGAATTAAAGGCCGTTAAAATTCATAATAAATGACATCGTTTCCAGTCAGCGCGGAAAACAGCCCAAGACGGCTAATGAAATTTCCTATAAATAAGAGGTCAAACACAGCAAATCCCATCTTCCATTCAGTTCCGCTTTCTTGTTGTGCAAATTAAAAAAAAAAACCTCAAGGGCTAGGGCTTGGTAATTGTTTTTTTGCAAGATGTTGGAGGTGGTGTTGAACGACCGTTTGGGAAAGAAAGTGAGAGTAAAGTGCAACGACGACGACACCATCGGCGACCTCAAGAAGCTCGTGGCGGCACAGACCGGTACCCGGGCTGAGAAGATCCGGATCCAGAAGTGGTACACCATTTACAAAGACCATATTACCCTCAGGGATTACGAGATTCATGATGGCATGGGCCTCGAGCTCTACTACAACTAAAACAAACATGTAATTTACTTTTCTCGTCTTTCCTTTCCTTTTTTTTTGGCTGTCTCTAGGGTTTCGATGTTGATTTTTTTTATGTGGATTTTTCTTATCATTGTTTGCCGTGGTTGAAATCTCTCTCTCTTTTTTAGAGGTTTAGGAGTACATGCTGTTAGGTTATTTGTTATTGGATTTTGTGCGGTTGAATTTTAGCTTGCCATGTTGCAGGAGTTGGTCTTGGTGTGTAGACAAATTGGTCGATGATTACTGGGTTTGCAATTTGTGTCATCTGTAAATATAGAGAGATGTTAGATTGCATTAAACTTGTTAATCGTGGGTATAGTTCCTGAGTTAACTTTTGTCATGTATCAGCGAGGAATACACTGTTAAAAACAAGCTTCGATCACATTTGTTTGAATGAATGCATGGTGTTGTCTTGTGCCAATGAGGCCTCAGTCTTTTTCTTGCTCTGCATTTTGGGAATTGAAGTTGGCCGCTGTGTTGTGTGTTTGTTCGGCAGGGCTATATCTTTCAATTCTTTCACAGTCAGAATTATTTTTTGATCCATTGTGACAGTTGGCTAATTTTGGTTTTCTTCGTATAAGATATTTTTTATTTTACTCGTTTCATTATCGAGCTTACATTGTATTTCATGGAGCTTTTTGATAGATGACTGTATTAGAGGAATATCTTACGATGTGGTTAAGTCACCTTCTTTTCGTTTCTTTCTTTTGATAAATTTGGTACTTATTAGTTGAGAGAAAAGCAAAAAGGTAACTTACAACGTCTCTTTTTTGGGCTTTTCCTTTTTGATCCAGGTACTGCCAATGAGTATGGCAAGGCATTGTTGAAGATGTAGCTGCCCCCTACTTCGCTAGTAATTTCCTACTCTTTGCGATAAGCATGATGCTCTGTGATTGATGCACATATGCTCTTATGAAATATGTAAAGATTGCGATGACTAGACCTGGTCATGGCAATGTTAACTTGCAGTATGTTCTGTTTGTGGTACATCAAGCTCAATTATCTGTGAAGTGGTTGTTTTATAACTCGGATTCTTGTGATTCCAACACTTAATAGTTAACTTGAGTGGATGAAAAACTGGTCGATTTAAAAAACAACTTTGCTTATTTGCTTATGGCTTATTTGTGCTTTACCTGGCTGTCAGTATGAAAAGCTTTTGTGTTCTCTACTCTTTCATTGTCCAAGAAGACATTACAAGAATGAAATTGTTGCTTTTACGATGTTGTTTCAATCATTGGTGGCCCCTGGGACTACTACTTGCACACGGTCCATGAACCATTTTATGCATTAGAACTGCTTAAAGGCTTTCTTTAACAGGAGTCAATGTTTTGAAATTGAGGGAGATTGTCTCATTTCAGTCCTTTTTTTATGTGGTTTGAATCATCATGTGGGTTAGTGGTTAGGTGTTACATGAGTATGCAATATGAGTCAGATGCAAGCTGATCAATCTTGTGAAGAAGCATACACTTCCCTTTAAGGCACTCAGTTATGAACCACTGTTATTTAGTACTTGGTGCACATAATATTCAACTCCTGGTGATTTTTAATGCAACCTGATGTCCATTGCCAATGGACTTCTGTTCTGTTCCTTTTTTAGAGTGCATACTTAACTGGAAAAACATTAGCAGTCTCTTACTGTCTATGTGCCATGAAGGTAAGGTAAGGTATCAAACATGTGAGGGAACCTCTTCATTCTCTGGTGACAGTTCCAGAAATTGCGTGAGTGTGTTAACACTAGAGTTTCATATGAAGTCCATGTGTTCTGTTGCTTTAGCTGGATGTGCTGTGTTGAGCGATTAAGAACTAAATATACAAGGTTCATCCTATAGTTTGTTAGCTGGAATGAACCTGCAGAGCAGCTAGTACTCTCTGATCTTTAATTGATGTGCATGTTTTCTTGTTATTTTTGCTGGCATCCGTTTATTCACGCGGGAAGGGACCAAGGAAGATGGATATATATAAAGCTAAACATAGCGTAATATGGATTAGCTTAACTATCCAAGAAAATGGATTACTTTTGTGGGTGATAGAAAATTTGAAATCTCTGGTGGTGGCTCAAAAGAGCCTACACCGAAGCTTCAATCACAGCTAGTAAATAGTGAGGCTCAGCAAGATGTGGGTGTTTAAAAAACATGCTGATGGCGGAGGTTCGTTTAGATTCTGAAACCTGAGCGAGGGAAGCGGGTTTCTTTACCTATAAATATGGTGCTAGCACAACTAGTAAATTGACATTTCCCTTTAGACTTGCTTGTTCTGTTTTAATTGAGAAACACTACAACTGGAGACTAAAATTAAATGGACCTTTTAATACATTAGAATGGATCTCTCACGCACACACCATACGAGAAAGAAAAAGCATAGGGACATGCCTATTTGGTTTCATTTGCAATCCTAGTCTCTCCTACGGGGAAAATGTCACTCAGCATGTGGTCGGAGGCATGGACAGTGCTTTCACGTAGGCCTCAATCTTCTTAGTATTTGGGCTTCGATGAGGAATGACCACAAACCTCGCTGCCAAGATTACTATCCCAAAACTCAGCCTGGGGATATGCCAATTTGGTGGTTGATGTTTTTTAAAATTTTATTTGTTTTTATATTTTAAAAAAATTTATTTTTTATTTTAAATTAATATTTTTTTAGTGTTTTCAAATTATTGTGATGAGTTAATATAAAAAATAATTTTTAAAAAATAAAAAATATTATTTTAATATATCTTTAAGTGAGAAACACTTTGAAGAATAATTATAATTATATTTTCAAATGGTTTTTTAGATGTAAGAAAACCATAACTAGTTTTGAATCAATGTTTTTTTTTTTAAGACAATGTCCAGATGTCATTATTAAATCTGATTTAAATTTGATTCCATATTAAATTTAAATTTAAAATTAAACTAGTTTGATTTTAAAAAATTTAAGATAATTTTTTTAATAATAAGAGTGGTATACTGAATTGATATTTTTATAGTTTAAGTTGTCAAGTTTATGATTTTGATAGATTATATTGAGTTTTAAAATTATTTTTAATTTAATTATATGATAATAAAATTATATATATTTATAATAATTTAATTTAAGAATACAATAATCTTATAAAAAGAATCTAATAAAAAATTTATGAAAATAAATTTAAAATAAAGCTTGGGTCAATGTCATGTGTAATTTAGAGGACTGATGAGGGGCAATGTATATTTTTCATGCCAAAAATCTTGAAATAGATTTTGAACAAAATAAAAAAGGATTCCCTTGGACGGTGTTTCCTTAGCTTTGAAGTCAAGCTACATCATGTTGACCAATGATGTTATGGTAATATAAAATTTGATTGTCACGTAATGTCGTCATGCTGCTGTTTTGTAATAGATTGCCAACTCGGTGGTGAGGTTTCCCTGGCTTAACATAGAGCTCTCTTGTAGCCATCATGCTGGGTTCCGGTGATACACTCTGAAATCTATACTCTCAATCTGTATATGAATAATACTTCTCCTGATTTCAATACCTTCTTTAGGATTTGTTGTTTAACTTGGAAAAACATCTTGGGATCAGTGTAATCTTAAAGGGATGAAATTTATTTATCTGTATATCACCCTTCTTGAACACGCACTATGAACCATATACGACTCGAGAGACTGCTTGGAAGGTTTCTTCCCATGAATCATGAAGGTTTGAAACTGAGGGAGATTGTCGTTCTTAGTCTTTTTCCTGTGGTTTGAATCAGTCGCTTAGGTTTGTAAGTAGGTAGTAAAACAAACGTGATTTAGACTCGAGCTGATCAATCTTGCGAAGAAGCTTGCTCTTCCCCTGGTATATAACCATCTCCGTTCTATTTTCCCCATGATTTCCAGTGATAGATAGATACTCTTCGCAATGCTCTTGTTTCCATGGAACGAAAATCAAACTTGCGCAGCAACATCAAGAGTTTGAACTAATCTAAAAGGGTGCGTGGAATACTTGAAATCGAATTCAATTATAATGGTTAAATCGATTTTTATTTTTGAAATCCTTTCAAGCGTATTGATTTGAATTGTAAATGGAACTCAATTACTAAAAAATAACCAAAAACAAATCAGAAAGAAAAGGAGACCTTCTGATTTGCTACAATAATTCTTATTGGAATTAATATTAAAAATAATATTCTAAAAATACCCGTAACAACATCAATGTTATTTTTTTACAAAACTCAGTCTATTTCCTTTTCTTATCTAACCCCACACTATTCATTTGTTTTTATTTAACCAAGGCTATTCTCCAATGGATTCTAAGCCCTGTATGATAGATATTCTTATAGTTTGATTGCTCAGCACCTCATGTATTACCTTTAATTATAGGGCTATCTTTTGATGATTTTCTTTTCTGGCTACCTTTTCTTGACTAGGTTATGGGGTGCTCTACGATGCGTAACCGAGTTTTAATTGCCTTGTCTGTGTTTTATTGTGTAATATATAATTTAAAATGGGTATTTCTTGGACTTTATAAAAAAACAAAAAAAATATTATGTTAAATATAAACAATGAATTATAGTTAAACTGGCATTGACATCCATATTTTTCAAGAGATTTACGAGTTCAAAGCTTTTTTAATCATTGCTACAGGGAGGAGTGTTAGGTTGGTTGCCATTAATGTGCAACAACCATTGACTATTGCAGCTGGAGTTGTACCAACTATGTGCACCCATCCAAGATGTCAAAGGTTGGCAGCCACCATTGTTGAAGAAGAGCTAGAGTTGGCAGCCACCTTTGTTGAAGAAAAGCCTCCATGAATGCCTATAAATAGAGGCATATATTAGAGAGCAAAATGAGAGAGGAAGTAGAGCCAAAGAGGTGAGAAATGTAGAAAAGAGTGGGCTGCCATTGCAGCACAAAAGGAGAGAAATAGAGTGAGGTTGAGAGTTGCTCAAAGAGGGGATGATTCCTCCTCCTCTATTGTTGTAAATCTTGTACTCTCCCTACATAATACAATGGCTTCTCCCGTATATGAGCTTGAAAAGACTCACAGAACAGTTGATCAACCAGAAATGTTGGGATGTAGGCGGTATTTGGTGCCATTTGTTGTTGCTACACTACGACACTAGTGCTTCTACAAGTGTTGGACTAAACAAAAAGTTGTTGTTAGACATACGGGGTCTGCAGCTAATGTTGAAGGTTGCTACTTTAGATGAGGAGGAAAAGAAAGAAAGGTCCCTTCTGCTGCTACTAGTTTGCATTTTCTCCTAGTTGTGGGAGTTATTGATGACATTGGCGCTAATCTTAACTGCAACCAACATTGGGGATAGAGCTCATAATTAGAGGTAATGCTGTTAATGGCTAAGGATGGAGTCTTTGTTGTTGTTAATATGAACTAGTTTTATTGTTGTATTTCTAATAAAAGGAAGCCAGTCATAATGGTAGGAATGATGTTGTTGTCGTGGTGCAAAGAAGAAGTTCCTACTAGACTAGGGAAAAGAGGAGATGAAGGCCTCTCATGAACACTAGATGAAAGCCTATATAATGGCTTTTAGAGGTTAAAGGGGGTCTGTTTCTATTGGGTCTGTGAGATAAGAGAGATGAAAGGTAGTCTTTCCTTTTTGTGTTTTGCTCATTCTAGGTTACGGGGATGAGTTGAAGGGGAAAAGGGATGAGTTGAGAGCTATTTTTGAAAGCTGGGGAGGAAGAAAAAAACAGTTGAGGAAAGGGGCAGTGACTAGTGTAGGTTTCACCGCCCCCTCCTCTATTCTTTTTTTATATTTCTCTCTTTTAAGATTTCTAATAATGGCATCCTTCTAGGGTTTCTTGTGAATGTCTCCCTTTATGAGATCCCACATCGAAAGCAAGTGTCTAGAGTCAGGGTCTTATAAGTAATGTTGGTTGCCAATATGTTGGATGTGTTTTGGGGTTATACGTGGCTGCCAGGAACAAAACCGTGAGGGAGGACCTGGGTTGAAGCCCGGAAATAGATGGACTAGGAAGCCAAAACGGATAATATCCAGCATATTAGGCTTGACCGTTATATTTGGTATCAGAGTCAAGGACAACTCATCTTAAGGTGGGGGATTATGAGATCCCACATCAAAAACAAGTGTCCAAAGCTAGGGCCTTATAACCGATGTTGGTTGGCAATATGTTGGACACATTTTGGGACCATGTGTAGCTGTCATGAACAAAAATGTGAGAGGGACTTGGGTTGAAGCCTAGAAATGGG